TTTTTATGACGGAAATATAAGAGTATGTCATGGTATTATATTCATTTGTAAAATGCATTGTCAAAAAATCGATGTGTACAGAGTCATGATTTTATGCGGCAGGTTTTTGCCTTCCGTAACCGTAGTAGTCGTGGACATTGTATCCGCGCCAGGCGCCGGCTCCGTAGTACATGACAGAGATGGAAACCTTGGAAGAGAGCAGCTCGGTACTTGGGATGACTGGAATTATACAGAGGAGAGATCAGTAGATTATTAGAAATAATACAATTTGTCTCTACATTTATCCGTGTCTTATTCGTTAAAAAATGATCTAAGAGATTTAAGAGAACGGAATTGTCGGAACTTACCTGATGCCATACACAATAGGATTGTATACAGCATTGGCTTTCGCAAAGAGTGAACCCCAGATCGTGAAGAGTGGACTGATCTTGGTTGTTTCAAAGATGCCCGCATAATTGATGACTAGGTAAGGAGTCCACGCCATGAACCATAGAGAAATGGTCATTAAAGCTACCTGTAATTAATAATGCATAATTAATAACGTCTATAAATGAGAATCAATAAATATAGAAGTTTTTTTTTAGAAAATCCTTGCCTTTGCCAGTTTGCATTCGGCACTGGTGTTTTGGTTTTCAGCTGATCGTAAGGAAGCGACATTCATCTTTTTTGCTTGCTCACGCATATTCTTTTCATGAGCAGCGACAGCCTGAATAATGAAGAAATAGCTGTAAATGATGAGGAACAATGGCGTGAAGTAGACGAAGATACTATAGATTAAGATGTATGATCTGGAGAACATATCCTTGTTTAAGTAGTCGGTACCACAAGCGGTCATATTGCCTTCGGGCACGTAGCTGTAAAGGGGAAACATTATATATTGCCAATAATTTACAACATATTTAAAGATAGATATTTAATGTTATTTTAAACTCTTGTATTTTACCGGTTCCACCCAAGCATTGGCGCGATTGTCCAAATCAGTGCGAAAATCCAGATGGCAAATATGCGCAGGAGGGCGCCGTTAATGGTCATTGGCTTAGCAGACAAACCTTTGACAATTACGTTGTACCTGTCGAATGCGATCATCGTCATTGTCCATATGGACCCACATCCGAACAGGGAGCCCGCCAAGGCGTATAGTTCACAGAATAAGGGTCCTAACACCCAAGTCTCGTAATAGCAGTTGATCACCTGTGCACGTTATCAATTAAACATACAGATCGCACTGAATGCACTTCATTTGTGAGCGTTTCTGAATGATGTATGTACCATAGCTGGAGACATGGCCAACATCATGAGAAAGTCAGAGATGGCGAGATTGATGACGAGCAGATTGCTTGGAGTGCGAAGACTCTTGGTGGTGGTGAATATGTATATCACCATGCCGTTACCGATGACGGATATTACGCCGAGGACTCCAATGACGAGGCCAAGGACTGCGTGCCACAGAGGGTTCATTGGTGGGAATTGGTACCAGTGGGCGTCGACCAAGTGCAGCATCTCCGGTGGCACCTTGTCGACCACCGTTTGATTACCAAATCCGCCTCCTTGCACTGCCCACGTGTAGGCTGCATGGCTTGGTCCGGATGCAAGAGACATTTGTACTACAAGAACACATTTTACATTGATGAATTCGTGTGTAATTATTCTTATATTGTCATTTAACTAAATAATATATTAGCATTTGTGAAAGAAATTATCATTTGAAAGTAAAAACACGAGGCAACAAGATGAGCAAATTTAAGAGCTTTACAAAATTTTCATATTTCTGCAGTTGCAGGTAATGATATGCCATATAAAAAATATATCCGGACGAATGTAAATCGTGGCTGTACGGTGTTGATCGTCTCACCTCTGTTGTTGCTACTTGAATAAAATTATGATAAATTGTGAATTAATCCAAATACACCGCAAGATTGCTGTCGTCGGCGTGATGTCTCGTAACGGGCCTTCTGTGAAGCTTGCAAGTAGAGTTCCCTGTTCGGTCCACTATCTGTTGCGGCTCGGAGTTCGCCGCGACAGCAAGCGGCGCTTAAATACGCATCGCAATCTTACGTATTTACGACTATATACAATAACTTTCTAAGTCGCCAAACAGTCTTAAAGAGTTCTCTATTAGATTACGCAGGATTTGGGAATACCTTGGGAGTACCTTGAGCGTCGCACACAGAAACCTTACGAAGATGCAACAAGAATAGAACGCGAAAAATCATTCGCGATTGTTGTCCGCTGAGTTTGGAGACCTCAAAAGATATACAACTCGACGATTCTGATTCTTTAATAAATTTTTTAATTGTTAAAGAATCAAATTGATTATCTTAATAATTTTAATAAGGAGTAATTGCTACACATCTCTTAATTATTATCTTTTATAAATTCGAGAATAGAAAAAGGATAAAAAAGAATGATAATTATTTAATAATAAAAAAAGGATATGCATATATAATATTTTATTTCTTATTAAACATGTATATGTGTATGTACACACATATATACATACATGCATACATACATACATATACAATACAAAAAAGATGTTTCATTAAAATAGAATAATATGTAAACTTCTGCACCTTTTGATACATCTTGTTAAAAGAGACAATGCTCACATATAAAATATCTTTTCATCTTTTGTATAGTTAAAGAGTTATAACGAAAAATTTTATAACAAGTTTTATACGCATTCGGGTGTAATGCTACGTCCCTTTAAATTCAAATGTGATCGAGATTAATAATTGCGATTTCGAGATGTTACGTAGAGGAAACTCGAAGTCGAAGATGATTCAAAATGGCTCGACATAGCCGTTGGCAATGTTGGCATGTTCTATCGCATGTGATGGATCGGCGATAGCGGCGTGATGATTTGTGTCAACAATAGATATTTTCAAAGAAGATCGACACATCAGGTATATACATATATGTCTTTTAGAATACGATTCTCTCATTTGTGATTATTTCAAACTGTTTATTGTTATACCAACAGCCATGGAGGAGAGTCTTGAGGATAATTTGCTGGACGACGAGGACGACGTCGGGGAGCTGACAGCGCAGACGGCGCTCCAGGAGATTGAAAATGCCTGGATGAACGAAAGATTCGCTCCAGAAATTTTGCCACACCAATCCGATTTGGTAGATTGCATGTTACAGCAAATTGCGCACATGGAAGAGAACATCAAGAGGTTAGATAAGAATGATCTGCGAGCGTTGGTTCACCGGATGGAACTTGATCGGATTAGATACGTGATCAGCAGTTATCTACGAGCACGCCTAGAGAAGATTGAACGGTTCACAATTCATATCTTGTCGGAGGAGGCAAACAGAAGCCCAGAAGAGGCTTATTTGACACCGGATGAACTGCATTTTGCCAAGGAGTACTTGGCTAATCTGGAAACGCTTTTCAAGACAGTAGCATTACAGCACATGCCGCCTAATTTTCAACGATTTGAAGCGAACAAATTTATAATTAAGCCCAACTTGCAGACATATGTGTTTCTACGCGCCAATCGGAAAGTTACAGGTATAGTTCTGCCTGGTGTATTGAACGAAGAGATAGACTTTGAAGAAAGCTCGCAACATATCATTCAGTACAGTGCTATAGCACACTTAGTCAAGTCTGGTGTGGTGCAGCTGATTTGATATTAAGTTGAAGTATAGTCAAGGAAGAAAAATTGTGATATATTTTTTTTACAGACCAATGTATATTTATTTATGTAATACAATATTACAAAATTTTTCTCTCAATAATCATTAATTAAAAAAAAAAATATTTGACAATTTCATTTAATTTTAATAATAAACATATCTAAAAACTAATATTTTTATTAATATTTAAACAAATTTTTTTATCACTAATGAGCATATCGCTTTCTCATTCTTATGTTTAACATCATTGTATAGTACAATGTGCTCCTAAACAAAATACTACTTAATTAATTAACAATTACTTTTGATCAAAGATAATGTTATACATTATTTGTATTGCAATTAAATGCAGCATTTTTCAAATGAAATCTAACTACGCTTACAAAAATATAAAGATTTGATAGAACAAAATTGTTAAGTATTCTTTTTAACATCACTTCTAAAAATATCATTTCTAGATTATATAAATATCTATAAAAAATAAGTAACTAACAAAAATATAAAAATCTAACGAGTAAGTACTAAATCTAATGAGTACTAATCAATTGCTACAAATATGAGTACTAATCAACTGCTACAAATATTGTTTGAAAAAATAAAAATGTCGAATAAAATTAAGTAAAAAAGAGATAAGTAAATATTTGTTCTTTTGTTAACATATTGAGATATATCTTCAGAAAATATTAATATCACATTAGTTTGTGCTGTCGTTCATAAGCCTATAAACAAGTTAATATTTACATATTAAATATTTTCTTAATATATTTTTATTTACTTAATTTTTGTCATCATAATAAATTAATTTACCTCTTTGGCATGTTGCTTAAGCTGTTCGGTCATTGCTTTACCAGTTTCTTGCACCATGTTACTGAAGTGTCCTTGTTCATTTTGTAACAAGATGAATGGATGATCAAATTCTAATACTTGACCTTGATCCATTATCAATACTTTATCACTATCCATTATTGTATTCAACCTATGCGCTATTGTCAATACTGTGCAATTTTCGAACTTCTTTCGGATTGTGATTTGTATGAATGTGTCCGTTATAGGATCTACATTAGCAGTAGCTTCATCGAGCACAAGTATTTTATTATTCTGCAAAATCGCACGCGCCAAGCAAATTAATTGTCGTTGTCCGACACTAAAATTGTTGCCGCCTTGCTCAACGCGATAATCTAAGGACTCCACTACATGTTTTAATTTCACTTCTTCTAAGGCACTCCATAGATCGGCGTCATGAAATTTGTGAAAAGGATCAAGATTATCTCGAAGCGTGGCAGAGAATAACACCGGTTCTTGTGGTATTATGGAAATTTTGTTTCTTAAATCATGAAGACCAATCTTCTTCGTATTAATGTTATCGATGTAGATAGCGCCGTTGAGTTTTGCCATATGAAATAAGGCGTAGATCAAAGATGATTTTCCGGCTCCAGTACGACCCACAATTCCAATCTGAAAATAACTTAAAGTTACAAATTATCTAAAATCATTTAGCCAATATTTAAAATAATTTAAAATGTAATTGGAATTGGAATAATTTAAAATTATTTAAAAATATATTTTTCATCTATATAACAAATGTGATCGCAATTACTTTCATGCCAGGTTTAATAATGAAATCTAGAGATTTAAGGACGGGTGGCTCTGATTCAGAGTATCGAAGATAAACACGATCGAATTTAATTTCTCCTTTAGAGGGCCAGTTACTCGATGGTTTATCTGTAGAATTACTCTCGAAAGGGCCTTCTTTTTCGAGCTCAGTGAATTGTAATACTCTTTCTACGCTCGTCATCTGTGCAATTGTGTCAGCGGTTTGACGCATTCCATGTTGGACCATACCGCATAAAATGAGTACTTGCGAGAGAGCTAAACCGACATTTCCAGCGAAAGTATTTCCTGGAAAAAGAAAGGTCTATAGATATATGTATTATAATAGACGCACATTAATCGATACTCATAACAATAATTTACCGTCATCCAACGCAACAAAACTATACGTAACAACGGCGATAAAACTGATAGATACAATGTCTAATGCAAAACCGAATACTGTTCCAGTTGCAATAATTAATGAATAAGTACTAGTATGTAAATCTTGATGTTCGTCGAATTGTTTGCGAATCATTTCCTGAGCACCGGTAGACCGTATTGTCGTCAGACCTGACAATGTAGAATTTACATGCGAGAAGATGGGACTTTTCGCTGAAAATGACATTAAATAGATATTAATTTCGAACATATAAAATAGCTCTAAATTGTTAAAAAAAAATTTACCAATGCCTTCTAATCGTTTTATAGTTTGCGCTATTGGAATATAGATTCTTCTTATCATCTCGTATAAAACAATCATAATGAATATAGGGAATATGATCCACCAATTGATAATAAGTATTTGCACTAAAATTCCGATTAGTACTGCAAACATTTGAATAGATAATAACATAATAGGGGGCAAAATTTCATCTATAGCGCCAATGTCCTTCGAAAAACGATTTAAAATTCGTCCTAGAAAGATAAAATTTGTATTCTTATTTTTATGTCTAATTATATTTCTATTGGTAATTGATGAATAAACGGCAATCGGTAAATTTACCAGATGGATTGTTGTCAAAAAATGACATCGGCGCTTTAAGTAAACAAGAAAACATGAAATTATGCAAATTCTTGCTAGCATTCATACATATCTTAAAAAAGATAAAATTACGCGTCGTTGTCACTACAACGCTGATAATGATAAAACAGCCATAAATCCATAAAGCTATATCTGTATCAAGATAATATGCATCTTCATTTATAATTTTGATCTAAGTAAAGTAATAAAAGATTTATTAATAAGATGGCAAGATTAAATGTATCATAGGAAAATAGAGAATACTAACATTATTAATAGAAAAATTTTGTGCAGTATTATTGAATACATTTTCCTTATAATTGCTCGTGGATGTTATAAATTCAATGAATTCATTATTAATTTCTGATGTATTATCTACTTGTTCAATAGATTTTAATATGGAAGAGCGCATTGTCAAATTATTCGTTGAATTGTACTGTAGATTCTTGATACGTATCTCTTCTTGTCTTGTCCTATGTCATAAAAAGTTCATCGATTTGCGAAGTAGATTTTTCTTCAATATGCAAACAAACTTTTCTTGAAAACTTACCAATAACCGACCCAGTAGTCACAGCCATTACTTCCAATTTGTCCCAAAATCAGGCAAAATAGAAAGCTGGCGATCATGATAATTGTACTACCACTACGAAAATATTGCCAATAAAGCGATTTCGATAAATTTCCTTTGACCAAAAGTTCTTCAGTTTCTTGAGGCTCAATCTCTTCCGTATCTTCATCGTTAACATTATGATTTTGAGTTACGTCAAGTGCAGGATTTATATCAGTTAATGATTCCTTCCTCTTTTCCTTAGTTTCTTCATCTTTTGATAATATTTCCAAAAAGTTTATACGTTTTTCTTGAAGGTCTATAAATGTGCCTTCGTTTTCAACTTGACCCTTTAAAAAAAAAAAAAATTGACGTAATTAAATTTTATAAACTTATATTCATAGAATCTTATACGTGTATATATATATATATATATATATATATATATATATATATATATATATATATATATATATGCGCGCGTGTATATGCATGCGATATAATATTTTACATACATTATTGAGAACGATGATGTAGTCGCATTGTTTCAAGTATTGCAATTGATGAGTCACAAGAATTCTGGTTTTGTTTTTCAAATAATTATTTATACATTCGTCAAATAAATGTCTGCCTACATGAGTGTCAACAGCCGATAAAGGGTCATCTAAAAGATAAATATCAGCATCTCTGTAGACAGCTCTATATAAACAGTAAAATTTTTATACATTAGGATATAAAACTCTATTTGTAAAAATGTATAAATTTACCTCGCTAAATTAATTCTTGCACGTTGTCCGCCACTGAGTATTGTGCCTCTGTCACCAACCAAGGTCTTATCGCCGTAAGGAAGTTGTTCAAAATCTTTGATAAGAGCACATACATTTATGACATTCTGATATTTATCTTTATTGTAAGATTGGCCAAACAAAATGTTATTTCGCACTGTGCCTGCAAACAGCCAAGGTTCTTGACAAGCATACGATATTTGGCCACCTACGTGCACTTGGCCTTGCGATATTTTCAATTCGCCTAAAATCGCTTGCAGAAAAGAACTCTATAAATTAAATATAAAACGATCCTTTTTAAATAAAATTAAAAATTTTTTTTCTCTGTATAAAATATTTACATATGTAGTATTTAATATATGGATAAAATATAAAAGCAAATATAAAAATAAATGTAAAAATATGAGTGTAATATACCTTTCCTGCACCTACAGGACCAACAACAGTATAAAGTTTCCCGGTTTTAATTTGAATACTAATGTTATGTAACGTATTTACAATTGCAGTAGTTGTCCATGAAGCACTAACGTTTTTCATTAAAATGCTTGTTTCTTTGGTAATTGATAAAGACTGTGTTAATGGAACATTCTCGTTCAATAATAGGAAGTTCTATTAAAAATACACGAGTCAATTATAATCTAAGTAAATAAAATGTATTATCATATCATGATAAATATTTAATAACGCTTATCTACTGTTATAATAGTAATTAATTATTTAACAGTGGATTACAATTCTGACAACAAGAAATGATATTTCAGTTGAAATATCTATGTAGTGCCTATTAAAGTGCCTATTAGTGCTTATTAAACTAATTTGGGACTTAATTTTTTTTAGCTTTAATTGATAAATTAATATTACCTCTATTCTTTTTACAGAAACTGTTGCTTCAGCAGCAGCCGCTACAGCCATAGGATACAATATTGCCATGGTAAGTTGAAGAATGTTAAAGTACTGTGCCATTGAGAATACTTTATCAGCAGATATAGAGTGTCCGTAAAGTACATAAGCCATGATTGTAAAATACAACGTTGTTCTTTCCGTGAAAACAAATGTGGCTAGAGTGAAACCTCTTAGATACGATATTATCGTAAGAATATCGATTTCGTATCTAAACAAAATTATGTGCTTATTATATTAAATTTTTTCTTAATAACGATATTGACATATATACAAACTTTCTTGCACGATTAACTAATTCTTCAAAAGGTTTTTCCCAAGTATACATTTTAATAACTTGTACACCTTTGATTATTTCGGACATTAAATGTACTCTCTCGTCGGTTCTTATTGCGATTTTTAAGCGTAACTTTGAGATCCATTTACCTATGTATCCTATAAAATAAATAAAATTAATTGCATTGTTACCTTTATATGTAATATATTTGCAATAATTGCATATTACCTTGAAGAGGAATAGTTTGAATTATTATGAGAAATACACCAGCCAATGAAGCGATGCCGACGCTTCGCCATATCAGAAATGAAATTATACACCCTTGTATAGGCAGAATCCAAATATAATGCAATGGTACAAACAATTGTTCAAATTTTGACATATCATTTGATAATAGATTAACAATTTGTCCTGAACTGGTAGTGGAAAAATTGGATAAGCGTAATATCTATAAAAAAAAAATAATAAAGAAATATCTTTAGAGACTAAATAAAATTTTTAAAACACTAATTATCTAAATACCTTCCTATATATTAAAGAAGAACACGCTATTCTCACTCGCATTCCAATCTCCATTAAGCCTAGAGTTGAATGATGAGTGATTAAAATTACCAATATTCCAAGGAAGATCATAGCAGATGCATAAAGATATGCTTCCATTTCAGTAGATGTTGCTCTTGGATCAAAATGCCAAATGAGCAGACCCAGAATATACGTTTGTACGACTCTGTAAAACATATTCATAATAGCAAATAATCTCATAATCATTACAACATCTAATTACCTCAAAATACAACTTAAAAATAAAATCCATCCTCCATAATGAACAAATGACCATATGAATGTCTTCTTTAAAGCTATGAAAAATTTTGGCTTCCTACTATCTTTCTTAGCTGCGTGTATTTCATTCTTCCAATTCCTGAAAGCATATTGTATCAGAAAACTGACAACAGTTCCTTAATTATTAATAACTTCATCAATGATCAATAATAAAATAATTTTAGTATTATATATTATATATGATAGCGTTCTGTTACATTATTCTGTTAATAAAAATATCAAGTTAATGTCAAGTAAATATTTTATATTTATTCATATTAAATTTTAAAATATATCAGAATAAAAAATAATTTTAAACTTTAATTTTTAAAGTATTAATTTCTAAATGTATAATTTTAATTTTTTAATAGAAAATTAAAATTGCATCTATTAATATGTTCAAAAATATATTTTAAAAAATAAGAGACTTCCTCCTTTCCTTCTAATCCCTATAAAATCAGTAATAGTATCTCACGATCAAAATATTATATCATCCAGATATTTGCTGACAAATTGGCAGCAAGTTCAAACAGATTTTGATTGCAAAATCATAATATCTGTATTCACATTAAGTTTAGAATTTATTGACAAAGCTGATTATTATGCTATGCTTTGCTAATATATTGGTAATAAAAACCGAGCAAAATCTACATATGCTGATTGACAACTTAATGATAAATTGACAGTCAAAAATCAAACAAAAGTTGCAAATTCTGCTTGGTTTCTGCTGCTAATCTGCTGATATAAAATGTTGACACAAAATAAAACTTTGTTATATTTTTAACAACAATTTGCCAATATTATCAGATATTATAGATTTGTTGCTTTTCTGATCAAATATTGGTAACAGATTCTGCCTAAAACTTTTGCAAAGATTCTTCTTTGACTCTACAAGTTTGCTATCTGGATTAAAGATATATCAGTTATATATAAGATATCAGTTATTAGATGTATTATTATTGAATTAATAAGTCAACGAGTGATGTAATTTTAATGTATCAATTCATTTAAAAAATAAGATATTTACTCTTCCAGTTTATTTCCCAAATATTCACTTTTGTCAGCTGGCATAACATTGTAGATATTTTTCATTTCCAAATTATAGTCTTTTCCATACCAGAAGAGTCCTGCCAACCACCTTAAATATAATGCATATGAAATTAAGTAGTGCATAAATGTATAAAGAGATAAGAACATTTGCATTAACAAGATAGATATGCTCATAAAATAAATACATTTATATATAAGTATATTACTTAATAATATATTAATACTAATTACTATATTATACATTATCATTATCATAACATCATCATTATCATTATCATTATCATAACATTATCATTATCATTGTTAAATATTAAATATTATTATAAATGTAAATATATATGATACACAATTCAGAATATATCTGTATTTAAAAAAAAAAAATAATATATATATATATATATATATATATATATATATATA